CATCCAGGATCAAATCTCCAGTGGAAAAACCAAGACCCTCCTCTAAACCTCCGACTGACAGAGACAGAACCAGAACTCCCATCACAACCAGTTTCACTCTTAGTTTCCAGAACCTCAGCAACAATCTGGACTTTTTACTAGTTTTACTAGTTTTTGGTACCAGTCCGGTCTCCTGTAACTGGTTTAAAGTCTGAATGGTTTCCAGCTGATTTCCACGTCTCCTTCATTCTGGGACAGAGTCCGAGCTCACAGATCTGGTCTAAACCCTCCTTGGTTCTGGTCTCTGAGTGGAGGTTCAGGTTTTTCCAGCAGCTGACACAAAGAAAGGCTGCTGTGTTCAGCCTGTTGTGTAGTTTCAGAGAACTTCCAGAAACAGAGAGTTCAGGCTGTGACTCTGAGTCCACCTTCTCCTCTCTCAGTCTCTAACAAACACAGAGGAGGCTGCAGCTCTCTGCTCTGCTGCTGACAATAATCTGGATTACTCAACTACACACTCATCCACTTTAATCCAGTTCAAGAAGAACAACATGTCTGCTGCAGGAAGAGGAGAGAACTGGAGAAGATGGACTGTAGCATTACAGATGTGGTGTCCTGCAGCTGGAAAGGATCGTTTCAGGATCAATAACTGAGAACAAATAATCCTGTCACTTTCATCCAGAATGTTCCAGGGTCCAGAATCAGGATCTGACACCAATCACCATGACTCAATCATTAAATGTAACTTTTTTAACAGGATCCATCAGAGACTCAAAGCTGGACCTGAACCCAGCTGTGTGTCCTTAAAGAGCAACATGTCAAATGATCGTTTTACTGATTTTAAATCAGTCCAGCCTCCATCAGCAGAGAGGTGAGCTGTCTCTAAATGTTGTAACTGTGTAAAATGTAACGGAGTCAGTCTGAAATGTTTTCATTCCAACATGTGTTTCATGTGAGCTCATCTCTTTTTCACACATTTCTATGTTCACATGTGAAGCGGTGTGTGTTGGATGTTTTCTCCAAACTCAGCAGTCAAAGTGAAAGAATGGATGTTGTAGGAGGAGTTTCTGAGTGTCTGTAGGTCACCAGGTGGTCCAACAGGTGTCACCTTTGACCTTTGCTTCAAACACAGTGTAGGTAGGAACTTCCACTCAGGTGGCAGGTGTTGCTGGATGGAGGAGGACAAATAGTTTCTGGATCCTGACTCCACATGGACCTTTAGCTGGTGTTTGTCTCTGTGTGGACAGACACAAGTGGAGCTAATTCTTCATGATTCCTCCACAGAGTGGACCAGCAGAGCTCAGAGGTTCCCAGTGCTCAGTCTGCCCAGCAGCATCAAACACAGCTGGACTCCATATTTATGGTGCGTTCATGTACAAC